GAGGAGGCGGAGGAGGAGGAGGAGGAGAAGGAGGAGGCGGAGGAGGACGAATAGGAGGACGAGGACGAGGACGATGAGGAGGAGGACGAGGACGACGACGACGCGGACGCGGACGAGGACGAGGACGAGGGCGAGGGCGGGGAGGAGGAGGAGGAGGAGGAGGTGGAGGACAAGCTAGGTGCGCTCGCGTCATATCTGACGTCCTACCCCTCCATCCCATCCCTTACCATGGCGCTGATTTTCTCTATCCGCGGACGCGTGTCGTCGCGGACCTGTGGCTCCGCGCGCGCGTGCGTAGTGGGTGGTGGTGCACGTGCGTGCGTGCGTGCGTGCGTGTGTGCGTGGTTGTGGTGGTGGTGGTGGTGGTGGTGGTGGTGGTGCTGGTGCTGGTGCTCGTGCTGGTGGTGGTGCTGGTGCTGGTGCTGGTGGTGGTTGTGATGGTGGTGGTGGTGGTGGTGGTGGTGGTGGTGGTGGTGGTGGTGGTGGTGGTGCGGCGCGGTGGTGGCGGGCGGATGGGCGCGCGAGAAAGAGGCCCGCGCTGGGGCGAGAACGCCATCCTGAACGACGGAGGCCAAACACCGATCCGAAAATGAGGCCCACGCTGCAGCGAGAGCACGATTCGGAACGATTCGGGAGCAGAAATGAGGCCGGCGCCTCAGCGAGAGCATTAATTTGGGAGGGAAAAAAAAAACGCAGGCGAAAACCCGTTTCCCGGGAATCCTGTGTGTTAAAAAACAATACGCGGGTGGCGTTCGGCCCGAAAATGACGCCCGCGCCTCAGCGAGAGTCGTTTCCCGGGATTTCCCGGGAATCCTGTGTAAAAAAACAGTGCGCGGAGGGTGCGCGGCCATCGCCCGGGCGCCATCAGGGGAAGAGGGAGAGTATTTTCATATTGAATAATTGTGGAAGCCGAGGACGCGGACGAGAACGAGGAGGGGGAGGAGGAGGAGGAGGAGGGGGAGATGGAGGAGGATGCGGGAAGGAGGAGGGGGAGTAGGAGGAGGAGGAGGAAGAGAAGGAGGAGGAGGAGGAGGAGGAGGAGGAGGAGAAAATGAGGAGGAGGCGGAAGGATGAGGAGGAGGAGGAGGAAGTATGGGGAAGGGGGAGGATGAGGAGGAGGAGGAGGAAAGGAGGAAGAGGAGGGGGTACTACTAACTGTTGCTTCTGCTTGCTGCGCTGCTGCCGCTGCTTGCTGCTACTGCTACTGCTATGGCTACTGGCTACTGCTACTGCTACTGCTACTGCTACTACAAAACGAACTACTACATACTACTACTACTACTACTACTACTACTACCACTACTACTACTACTACTACTACTACTACTACTACTACTACTACTACTACTACTACTACTACTACTACTACTACTACTACTGCTACTGCTACTGCTGCTGCTCAGCGCTTGCCCGGCTTCTGGCGCTGACCGGGCTTGCCACTCGAGAGGTCCTGGTCGATCCAATTGGCCTCCGAATCCCGCCTCCGCTCCTGCCACTCCGCCTGATGTTAGCCTCCATGTTCCTCAAGAAACCTGGGTTTGGAGGTCCGTTAGCGGGTGGCCCCGCTTGAGCGGCGGGAGCCGCTTCAGCGGGTGGCCCCGCAGCTGGGGGCTCTTGCGCTCGGAGCGTGGGCAAGACCGGCATCTGAATGCCTTGTTCTGGCGCTGGCCAGGGGCATGCCTGTGCAGCTGGGGCACGTGCGGACGGCTCCGCCGATCGTGCGGCTCGAGCCTCCAGTGCCTCCACTGCTTCGCGTAACCGACGCATCTCGCGGGCATCTGCAACGTACCTCTCCTGCTGGCGCGCTTGGTCCGACTCCGCATCGCGCTGTCCAGCATACGGGAAGTGTGCTATCACTATGCCCGGTCCACGGCATACGGCACAGGGGGCCTCATTCGGCGCACCTGGCCGCTGATTGCGGGCATGCTGCTGTGCAACACGGTCCCAGCATATGTCGTGGAAGAAGTGCCCGCACGCCAGTCTCCACACTGTAGTGCCCATCTCGTAGTTGTCCATGCAGATTGGGCACTGAGTGAAGTTGTAGTCTGAGATGACTGGAGCAGGCAAGTCAGGGCGAGTCCGAGCTTGGCGCTCGAACGTGGTTTCGCCCTCCCGATATGGCGTCGGTGGCAGCCGTCTGTCTGGCCGTTCAGCAGGTGGCCCCGCTTCCGCGGGTGTCCCCGCTTGGGCCTCGCGCTCAATCCTTCTCTGGATCGCGCGTTGTTGGCGCAGCCTAGTGTTGTCACGAGCCTGCTGCCTGGATGCCAGTATCGCTTGCTGCGTGTTGTGCACGTCGCGGATGTAGTCTGGCACGCTGCCCATAGCGGCTGGCACCGCGAGACCAGCTGGCTGAACTATGGTCTCGGGGTCCGTCGGTGTGGGCATGTAGGCGTAGTGCGGCATAGACTGCGCATCGACCGCTCGTGTAAACTGCAAACGAAACATCTCATTAGCTAAGTTCCGAGTGTATTCGTTCGCAGGTGGCCCCGCAATCATAGGAGTGTCATTTATCTGCGCGTAGTATTCAGGGTACATCGGCGCGTCCATGGCCGGCGCCTCTGCTGGACCGTGATTGTCCCATCCGTATATCGGGTGTGATGCTATTCCTGGAATAAACACCTGTCGATATGGATTCGTGGGATCAGCGTTTGGAGCATCTTCAGAAGTCCAACTCCAAAGAGGTCGGAAGTCGCCATGGCTTGTGACGTCTATGTTGCGGTTCCGCAACAGGCTGGGCACTCTTTCAGCTTGTTGTTGCAGAAAAGTAGCCTGTGCTCTTAAGTTAGCTGCCCGACGTTCGTAGTCTGAACCTTGCTGTCCGTCAGCGGGTGGCCCCGCTTGAGCGGGTGGCTCCGCAGGCGTTCGCTCGGCGGGTGACCCCGCAGCCACCCCTCCTTCACTACCCCTCGGAGTGCCAAAGGGAGTGAAAAAAAAAAAAAAAAAAATAAGTGGTTGCTTGGATTGCTGCCGCGAGTGCTTGATTTCCGCGAATCGCCTGGAGTTCTTTGCCAAAAGAAAAAAAAAAAAAAACACAAATAAAAAAAAAAAAAAAATAATAAAAAAAAAAAAAAAACAAAACGAAAAAAAAAAAAACGCAAAAAAAAAAAAAAAAAACAAAAAAAAAAAAACAAAAAAAAAGATAAAAACATAAACAGAAAATAAAAAAAAAAAGGAAGAAAGAAAAAAAGCTGTTCTCGCTCGTTTCAGACGGCGGAGTCCGGAACGGCGAGCCACCATCGGGGCCGCCCATAGGGACAAACCTCGCACCTCCAGCCTGCTGCGGAGGGCGTTGTGGCTGTGGTCCTAGGGCGCCTGGTGGCCCCGCAGGAGTGCGCAGGTTCCTCTGCTGTGCGTCTTGGATACCTGTATGCACTGCCCACGGGTCAGCACGATATAGCTGATCGGTCAGTCCAGAAACGTCGGCTGGTGACAGGTAGCTGTTGAAGGCCTGGACCCATGTCTGCTGGTCCGGCCTCCAAGGAGATGCTACCGCGGCTACTGGCGTGACCACTTGCTGCCATGAACCATCCGAGGTGTCTGCCGCGGGTGCCCCCGCTCCTGCGGGTGGCCCCGCCTCAGGCATGACCTCGTCTTCCTGGGCGTTTATCATGAGGACTGTCTGTGTGAGGCACGGTCGTGGAGCAACGTCTTGCTCGGTCATGGTCAGGTTGAATGGGCGACCGCCCGTCTTAGTCCAGCCCTTTAGGTACATGGCGTGCTCGTCCATCACACCCAGAACTCTGTTGCACATTTTAAGTGGCATGGCAAGTAGTCCTCGGAGCAAATCCTGTCCGCGGGTTGGCCCCGCTTCCGCGATTTGTCGTAAGCCAGCGGATTGCACCAGGCTTCACCGACCCGATATTTTGCAATGCTCACAATCTGAAAAAGATGATCGGGCGGTATGCGGCCATTGTGGCCCCGCGTCATGACGATGTCATTCGCTGACCTCCATAAAGAGAAGCCGCTGGACAACATCTTGCTGATGCTGCAGAAGATGAGCACCTCAGAGTCAGGACGGATGCCCGACTGAATCCTCGGGTCACCCGGAAGGTAGGGGCAGCCGTGAACGAACTGGCGCCCCCCCTGCCCCTTAGGGTTGTCCTGTGTGAGGCATGAAAGGCCATTCTCAAGGATGCCCTTAACATGCTCCCACTGTGTCCCGTGGATAAAGTATACTGGGTCATCTGGTTCCTTCATCCATGTCGTGATGGGCTTATAGAGCGACTCTGGGCAGTGGATGCCTGGGCTGCTATGGCCGCTCGTGGCTCTGATGAAATATTGTGGCCTGTGTGCCTTTGGTCGGAATCTGGGAGGTAGCGTCATGCTATCCTCGACGCATTTCATCTGGAGCCTGCCCTTCTGCATGCCATGGTTGTCGATCATCTCGCAGCAGTTCAGCAACACCCAATGCACGTATGAGCTGTGAGGGTTGCCCTTGATAAGCACATCGTGCATGTCCTGGTAGCCTTTCCACTGATTGTCACCAGTCCAATTTGCCAGCAAGTCGTCAACAACAACCCAGCCATCGCATGGATCGAAAGTGTCAATCTTTTCGAAGTATCGGCTGAATCCATCTTTCCAAGACGGACCATGGCGTAGGGCTGTAGAGAACCATATTGACACCTTGGCCATTTGCCAATCGCGCGGCAGAGTCGGATCTGTGTTGAACCTCTTCATGACATTCATGAGCTCTGCCTTGTGCTGCGCGACGCGCAATGGCGGCCTGTCCCGCAACAACTTGCCCACGACTTGTTGTTCACGTTCCCATTCGTTACGGCACTCGAAGTTACGACGATCGGGGCAATCGATGACCGCGTATCGATCTGTATCATCTCGAGTGACTCGTGGGTTTATGGTGCGTTTCGGGCCTTTGCCTTCAATGCCTTGCCAATATTCAATGGCTCCCAGAGGGATGTTCTTGAGAACGGACGACGCTGGTTGCCGACGTGCGGGTGGCCCCGCTGCCGCAGCTGGCGCCGCTGCGGCTGCCGAGGCAGCTC